TACATAGGTGATTATCCAAATTTTCACTGTCGATGGGATTTGAATACCCAACCTACCACTTGGGGGGTTGACAACCTGACCACTTCACTAGGTCGCCACACCCCAAACTTAATTTATATAACAAATATATATTATATTATTATACAAGATTATATATTATATTATATAAGATCATATATGATATACAAAGTTATATAATTCAACTAAAAAAACCATTATATGTTAATTTACTTACCCTAAAATATAATGGATATACCATAGTGCATAGTGTACAAGTATAAAGGATGTACTATGGTGCATAGTGCACTAAATTATAATTTTTTAACTATATATTATATTATTACAGATTATATAATTTAAATATAAATTTATTTTGCATTAGCTTATTAACTCTAAATCAAAAAAACTTTAACTTAAATTAACTAACTTTAATTAAATAATAGTGGATATTAAAATTTTAAATTACTTATCAGTCATGACTGTGGTCAGTCTGGTTATGACTCATGATCGATGATAACTGACTGAAATTAACCATTAACATCCCTAATTACATTACTTAGTTGTACTTATATATATTAAAAATTTAATTAATAAAACTTTATTTTTAATACTCTATTGAATAATTAAAAAGTATAGCAGTAAAGAAGTGCAGAATCACATGATTTAATAATAAATAATGGGTTTATATCTCATTACAATTTTTCTAAGTTAAAAGCTGTCTCTAAGTAAAGTATATTTAGGCAAGATAAATTCCAAAGATATTCAAGATACTTAAAGTTTTATTCGTGAAGTGTCTTCTGTATTATTATGAATAACAGTTATATTTTTTTAAAAAAAATTTACTATATTGAGACATAAAAGTATTCTAAACTATATAAATTCAACTTATAAATTCAACTGTATAAAATTAAACAATTACAAGAAAGTTAGTCTATAGGATTAAAAGCTTTTTCAAAACATTATTAGTAACTCAAAATTTTATTTAGAAAATCACTTTTATGTTTTACATAATAAAAAAATTCTTGGCTAAATTTACTATATGACCTTCTTTACAACAAATTTTCTTTTTGGACTTGTATTACTTGCAGAAAATAAGTAAATCTAAGTTATATATATTTTATTATAGTATAATTATTATAACAAACATACAGTCATTGACAAAAGTAATGCCCAATTTTTTTATTAAATGAAATTAAAATCAAATATATGATTTTTTTCATTTTTACAATATACTACATATTTTTTTTTCTTTAGCTAATCAATATTTGTAATGCTCTTCTTTTGCTTCTAATACTGCTTTGATCATTCCTAAAACTAAATCTATAGATTTCAAAAAAACTAACATATCTAATTTTGATTACTCTTTTTTTAGGACAATTTTAAGATCATCTATTTTTCTTAGAAAGTTGTCCTGATTCTGAATATTATTCTTCAATACTTTTCAAATATTTTCGATCAGATTAAGATCAGAAGATCTTGTAGGTCAGTTTAATTTAAGGATTTTTTTGTCTTTAAGCCAATCAGATATTTTATATATTGACACAGTGTCTTACTAAAATATTATTTTTACACCTACAAAATATGAGATGCTTTAACCTTTTTATAAAATGATGATAAATGATTTTCCAAAAATTTAATATATATTTTTTTATTAATTTTTTCTTTAGATCATTTATATACATCAAAAAAAATAAAAGAACTCTTGATTCTATCAATAAAACAATTCTATACCATTACTGACTGCCTACTATTCTTAAAACACAAAATTAAATACTCATTTTTGTGCTTTTTATCTTTGAAATGCCATATCCTAATTTAATATAATTGCTTACCAAACTTGATGAATGTTTTATTAAAAAAAATTACATGTTATCAATCATAGATGCTTTTTAATATATTTTGTTAATACCATTTAAATTATTCCTTCATATTATATTCCTTAAAGAATGACTTTTTTGCTGCTATACAAAACCAAACACCAAAACTTTGTAGAGTTTGAAAAGCAGTTCTTAAACTGCACTCAAACTTTAAATCATTAACCAGGTCACACAAAAGCTTGCATCTTTTTTTTAGAACTGCTTCCATTAAAGTAGTTTTTTTTTAATAATTGAGGGCACAGGATCTTCCAGACCTTGACAAATTTGATATATTCTTGATTCTCTGATACTTGGTAAGAAATCTTCAGATTGTGGTAAGATCATGTCCCATTTTCTGTACAACTTGTTGGACACTCATATATTCAATATAAGCCAGGATTTCTTTGTCTTTGTCTATTATTGAAATGCCAATCATGCTTATTATACTTGGTTTTTTTTTTTGCAGGTACTTCATGAAAATTCAAAGAAAGAGAAAAAAAAAAGATTTGCCCCACAAATTGCTATAATGGGGTAAGCAATACATATTTGTTTGTGCATCAGTCACGGGATCAAAATTGGGCATTACTTTTGCCGATGACTGTACGTATGCTGTTATAGATTAATCAAATAAATATGTGTATGTATTATATGTACATCGCATTTCTTCTCGTACTGCCCATAATAATTGGTAATGTTGAGCAAGTTCTGTAGTACAAGGCCATCAGGGCGATAATAATATTCAATGAATTTACATTGTATTATTGTACATGCTTGAATCTTTTTTCCAATTTCTCTTGCACGCTTAACCTTCTTGATAACATTGAACATCCATAATCCATATCTGTATAATGCAAATTTATTATCGAAATCATGTCCTGAATTATGATGAATTCTTAAATGTAGAAGCGTCATTTTTTATAACGTGCGAATAAACCTCTCTTTGCACGTTCAATATCTTTGAATGGAAAATATAAATATTAGATCTTGTTTATACATAGGACGAAGCTCATGCCACATAGTGACGCCCTTCGTCTTTTTATACATGTGCACAGTCTATGTTCACTGATCGACAGCGATTGACCAATTAGATTACAAGATCAGGTGTAACGTGAAAAACTAAAAAAAAACCGCGCGTTAGTAAAAGCAAAATTTTAGATCAGTGAAAATCTGTCAGATGATTTGCTGGTTTTTGCGTAATGCGACGCATCGATCATATGATTGGTCGCAATGCTAGCCACAAAGTGTATCGATTAAAAACGCGACAATCAAATTTTGAAATATCCCAGACTGAAATATCGACCTCGGAACAAATATTTTCGTTTTGCACATTACACAAATGCCAAAGGAAATTGATATTTCTGACAAACCGGGGTTTTCATACTTTATTACCACGCCATGTGAAGAATGGGATGCACTAGAATATCATGAAGAATGGTGTGCGTCTAAACATCCCATTAACAAGGCAACGATCACGTTAGCAATCATGCGACAGCTAGAATGGCTTATGAAGGAAGGATCAGAAGAAGAAAAGAAGGAAGCTAACAGGATGTTTAAGCAATTTAAAGTGTGTTACTTTTTTGCGTTAGAGGGCTAGTGCTGGTTTAGATGAATGGCTTCGATAGTTAATTATCACAAGCTTTACACGTTTAATGTCCTTGGGTCGAACCTGAGACGAAGCATTTGTTTTTCATTATTCTGTCCGTGATATTGTTACATTTTTTTACGTGGCGGTTGTGGCAGGAATCACGAGGGAATACGTTCCGCCCGTGTATGGAATACGTTCCGCCCTGTCTCAACTGAGATTGAAGCTACCCACTGGAATACGTATCCGAGTGGCGATGGAATACGTTCCGCTGAAATCTATCCATGAACTTGCAAAAGTTAGTTAACTATCATGGGCTAACCTTGTTTTTATTACTGTTAATTTTTTGTAGGAAGGTGTAAAAGCTGGTGGGTATATTGATGATTTTTGGATTAAAATGGATTTGGAGAGGAAAATAAACTTACAAGAGATCAAGGTTTCTGCAGAAGTTCGTAAAATACAGGTAATAAAAATTGTTTCTTTTTAGCCTTTACCCACACACCCTAAGGCTAAGCTTAATTTAAATTCTTTCTGTTTCCCATGCAATAGTCGGATAAATGCTTGATCATGGTAAAGGGTTTGACTTTATACTTCTAGATTTAGTGTTATCACTATACAAATATTATGTTTATGTAGAATAAGAGGTCTCTTGATGTCTTGAAAGAGACGGTAGTGGAACATAATGAAGCATCGGCATTATTGGCTGACTTTGCTCGTGACGGACAGGATGTCAGAAAAAGAAGAAAGCAGTATCACCAGTTGGATGGATATACCACTCCCTCCCCAGGTAGTCCAATGATACATCCATTGGAAGAAGAAAATCCATTCGTTGAGGAGGAGGATGATAAAGATATCATAATTGATGACATTCCATGTGAATTTTCTTTCAAAAATGGAGATCCAGTTGATGATTTACACGTGGGAGAGACTAATGTGTCTCTACTTTTTAGAAATTATCAGAATCAGTCGCTAAATATTGCAAGGGACAAGGGCTTATTTGTGGAATCAAATGTACAGGAAATATTATCGTTATCGTCAATTTTATTACTTGCCTCGAATTCCTACTCCAATACAATGATTGATCACTTCGGATTGTCCTTGCTTGATGAAATTCATCAAAAATTTAAATCAGAGCAACAAATAGAGTTAGATTCGAATTCCGAAACAACATTCCGAAAAGCAGTTAAAATGGCAATGGGTGGATCGCGTGATGATGCTATTATCTGGTTATGCGGAAAACTTTCAAGTGAGCAATCTTTAAGAGAGAATTTAGGTTTTATTATTCTGGACTGCTTGAGAGTGCTACCCTCTTCAAAAATTAGGAATGAGCACAGCGAAATCACACACTATACCAATTTCCTTGATCGTATTATGAAGGGACTCTTTGATGATCCCGATAAACACGTAGTACAATGGCCTAATACAGCTTTAAACGAAAGCAAGACAAGAAAAGCCGAAGGTCGCGCTAAACAACCAGATTTCACAACTTCCATAATTTGTCAATTACAAACTAGTGCCACCTTATTTGTGGGCGAAGTTAGCCCTCCATCAAAAAGAGGGGATGTATACAAAAATTGCAACGATCTTATTCGCCTGGGCGTGTTTATGAAAGATATCCTAGATTCATCTGTTGATAAAGGTGCTGATATAAAAGTGCTGGGCTTCCAGTGTGTTGGTAAGGAAATTAATATATTATTTACTCTTTTTCTTATGTTATTCTTTAATCCCTTTTTGATCATTTATAGATTATAAAGTTGACTATTATACCATGGACCTTGTTCAAGGAATTTATATTATGATTCATCTTGGTCAGATGTTGGTTCCAGCATCTTTAAAGGATATGTCATCTTTTGTAGATGATATAGAATTATCTTTAAGAGTACAAGATATTTTTCGCAAATCTTATGAAAATTTTTATCCCAAGCTTTGTAATCCGGGATCATTGACGAAAAAAGCGACATTCAAACGAGAAACCCTTTGCACTCCAAAGTTTCGACAGCTAATAAGTAAGAAACACGATGTTAATAGAAGCTGTCCATTTTGGTTTGGACGTTTCTAATATTTACATAAAAAATATTATATATATAACTATTGTGTTTGAGTGCACATCAGAAAAATAAAACAAATTTACACTGACTTCGAATTATTTACTTTTTACACATATACATAATTAGCGGATTATTTCTTTATTATTTTTTTGTAAGGCGCAGAAAATACATGAAGCGAAAAGCTAAAGAATACGTATAACTGATAGTATAACACCCGTAACGTCGATATAAAAATCTCGCATTTTAATTGGGCAGATCGGCACTGAGTCACAATTTTCAAATCTGGAAGGCTTGTGTAACGGAGGTTGTCCACCATGCTAGAAATTTCGCAGACCTCGGGTCGTTCAAATTTCACAGACCTCAGGTCGTTCAAGTTTACCAAAAAAATTCTCGATCATATGCGAGTAATGTACATCGATAATAATACAATAAAATAAATTCACGAAACACACATGCAAAAGTAAACGCGATTATATATGCGAAATCGAGCCACCAGGGCCAGCTTTATTGTTTAATAATTGTAAGTGCGTACTATATTTATTCTGCTTTAACTTAAGATTGATCAATCATGAATTAATATTATTTGTTTTGCCTGTCTCGCTGATAGCGATCTTCTCTGTCATACCAGATGCTTTCAAAAACAAAAGGAATATTCTATTTCAGTTCGTGATTCCAAAAAAATTTACCACCATTGTAATACTATAACGACACAAACATGCAAAAAAATTTAACAAAGACATGCATACAAAAATAATACATAAATAAATTACAAAGTATCGAGATGTACTCGAAAATGACATATGCCTTTACCAAAATAGAATAAGTTACTTAGTCAGACTAAACTAGTTCGATGTGTCTATAAGATTACATGATGACTTTTGCTTTTCTAGTACTTTCGATTGCTCTCCATTTTGTGAGGCTTCCACCAGCTTTTGTGCCTCCTTCAACAATTATATAATATAAGGATCTTTTCTACTTTTATTTGCATATTTTCATTCTTATACACAATGATTACTGGTTCCGATAGCTTGAATGATGGCCTTTCCTTATCATCTAGAGTGCATTCCATAAAGTATTATTTTTCCACATCTGTTACAATTTCTCATACTTTATTTAAACTTCATTCATTATTTATTTCATTGGTTTTGCATTTTCAGCATATACTTTAATTATTACTTCATATATTTTTTTAGCATTACTGTTTCTATTAAATCTGTCTTCTATAGTACTGTTGTTACTATATCTCTTATATTAAAGTAATTGTTTCTATTTGTTAATTCTTATTCTAATTCTTTGCTGTCTATAAGTTTCAACTCAACTTCTGTTTTTTTTACTATTAATTTTAGAGTTATTAACTTTTCTAACTTTGTTTGTGTTATTATTTGATTATATTCTATACTACTTTTCTTGGTTTGTTTACAATCATATGTAATTTGTAATACTTATATATTTATCTTTTTTATATTTGTATATACTTGTTTATTTGTTTCTTTACATACTTATATGTTCTAAACAAATCTGCAATTTTAGATTTATATTATTTCTTCAAAATTTTATTTTTCATATTTATTTATCAAGTTTGTTATTTTTCTATTTACTGTTGGTTTTTTTTCTTCTATTAATACACCTGTTAAGTTTATTTCAAAAACATTTTTTGTTTTGCTAAGTTTTTAAATATTGTTTTAATACTAGTTTTCTTATAATTTTTAGTTTTGTTTTTGTTAATTTTTGTATTTTGGTAAATAATAAAAAGAATTATTATTTAATCTGAATAATAGTTATTGTTTTTATTATGTTTTTAATTATATAAATATATAACTTATATAAAGATAAGTATATATTTGTACAAAAATGAATATACAACTAGCTAGTTATGCAATTGTTAGTTGCCTATTTAAGTAATTTGTTTAAAAGTTCTATATTAATTATTATATCTGTAATCTACTAAAAAATTATTTATTTAAACATTCTAATCTTATATTATATCAGATAAATAACATAGAGATGGGATCCTGTAGGCTAGTGGTCTAGGCGCCACTTCCTCCATAGACAAGGTCGACAGTTCAATTTTAGCTAGAGGCAAAACTCTGTAATCTATAGAAGCATATGAATGTACGCAAAGCCCTGTGACTTAAGTCCATGTGAACAGAAGATCGGTATATAAAGAAGTTCTCAGAAAGAAGTTTCCTGATATGAAGAGTTAGCGCCCAATGCGAGAGAAGTGGTGAACATACCAAAAATGGAGAGAAGGTGCACTAGCGAGTGATACAGTAAACATAAAAGGAAACTATAAGAAAGGAATGGACTTACTAAAACTCAAACACCTCTGACACCAAAACCGGTTTAGTAGATACAGGATACACTAATATGGATAAAATCTAAGGGGGGTAATCTTGGTACTATATTTAGTAAGTCTGTGTCAAGAGTAAATTCAAAGGACTATGGATACTTGGTAACATCCAATGAGGTGGTACCTTGATATAAATAGTAATTAGATAGCCCTAACCTGATATGTTCATGTAGTAATAGAAGGTTGTAATGCATAGGATTGAAAATCAGAAAGTTTAAATAGGGGATTCACAGGCGGATCTCAGGTATGGTAGCTAGTGGGTAACCCTCGGGTGGAACCCTTAATTAGATAATGACTAAAGTTATACGTGTGACTAGTTATACTTTTGTTGATAAACTATGTATTCATTAATAACTAGATATTACTCAATAAAAGACAGACAGGCAAGATTGCCGCTTATAACACAAAAAAAAAAAATCAGATAAATAACATCAAAGTTTTTGTATATTTAAGTATTATTTAACTCAATTTATAATTTTTTTTTAAATACATTTATTAAGTTATTATTTATTTTAGAATATATTATCTAACTATAAGGTTTTGAATACCTTTCTGTTAACTAATTTATTTACTTTACAGTTCTATTAACAGAATTATATTTTTGTGAAATTTATTTAAATTTCAGTATTTTTTTTTTTAAAAACTTTGGCAGTCTTGCCAATATCCTTTATTAAGAGAATTGCATGTTTAATTATACAACTATTAGCTTAATTTCTAGGTTTAATATCCTCTGTCTACTGTACTAGTGCTTAGAAGCAGTTTGCTACATTAGCATGAGTTGTTACTCATTGCTAGAAGGCTATCCAGGCTAGCCTTTGAGGCCATTTCAATAAGGCCTCCTATTACTATTAATTAGTTTTTGTATTGTGCTTTTCTATAAATTTTCTATTTTTTTTTTTCCTTCTCTTTTTTTTCTTTTGTACACTTTTCTTTTTTTAGTTTTTTATTTCTTGATTTTGCTATTATTTCATTTACTGCTCTATTTTGTTGTTCTGAAACTTGAATTTTGTTTTTTTTCTTCTTGTACTGATGTTTTGACTTTTTTTCTATTCATATATTTTACTGCATCTTTTTTTTCATACTGTTTTATAAAATTCATTCTATATTGTATCTACAATGCTTACTAGAAAGTTTCTTGTTTCTTTTAGTAAGACTAGTATATTTTGTATTCTTTTAACTACTTTTTCTTACAAAAGACCTTTGATAAGTTTCTTTCATGCTTCAGTTCTTTCCTCTCTCATTCAGCTCTAAATTGCTTCTTTTAGTTGTATTTGTATAGTGTTTTTTTTTTTATCCTTTAATAGTTCACTTTATGCTACTGTTATTGCTAGCATTTCTGTCTTTATCCAAAGATTCTCATAAGCTGAATAGACTGTTAAATAATCTTGATCCTCTTCTTTTCTTCTTTGCACATAATGCAATCTGGTTTTGTATAAAGGTCTGGGTATCTTGTTGCTAGTTCTTTAAATATTAATATTTTTTCTTGTATATACTTGAAAAGTGTACTAAGATTTTATTTCCTTTAGTTGAGTTGCATCTAACTCCATTCTGGTTTTTGATTTTTTTTTATAACAGTGCCTAGCAGTGCTTCTTTTCTTCTTGTATTGGTTCTAACTTTTTAACTACTAATAAAAAGCTCCAATCTGCATTGTTTTTAATGTTAAGAACTTTTTTAACAAAGTCTTGTGTTGGGCTTTCTACAACTATATTTTTCTACAAAAATAATACATTAGATCTTGAAACTGACTCTACTATAATTTTATCTGGATCTAGCAAATTTGCTCCTTCTTTTGCTAATTCATCTGCTCTATTATTTTATCTGTTATTGCTATAACTTTTTACTTTTATTAACTCTAATTCTATTTTTTTAATTTTCATTATATTTTCTATATTTATAATTAGAATGTAATTTTTCTTTTTTATTCTTCTTCTGTTGGTTATGAATTGACTGCTATTGGATATACTTGCTATAGCTGCTGCACTGTTCGTATGTATTTTAATTTTGCTTTTACTTGGTACTATAAGAATTATATACCAAATTGTCAACAGTTCAGCTTTGGTTAAGGAAGGTCATCCTTTTGCTTCAATAGTACCTTCATCGATTATATATTCTTCTTTACTGTTCACTTGTAACTACTCTGCTCCTATTCGATTTAGGCCTTAATCTTCTTTTTTTCTTTTTATTAATGATCTATCTGTGTAAAAGATCAGTTCTTTTTGACTATTGTTCTTCTGAATATACTTATGTTTTTCTATAAATAAATTGATGAGTTTGTTACTAATTCTTTGATTTTTGATTATCTTAACATCTATGCTTTCTATTATAATTTCTTTTACATGTCTTTCTGTGTTTAGTGCTTTATTCTTCTTTATCTGTATTGTAACTTCTAACATGTTTGTATTAATCTTCAACTGTTAGATATTTTTTTTCCTTACATACTTTGATAAAGAACCTTGAATCTCATATTTTTTATATTTTTTTTCACAACTTTCAACAGAACTAAGATCATTGTATAAACACCCTTTGCATTTTTTTAGCATAGTTTTTTGTTTTTTTGTTTAAAATCTTGTCTTCCAGTATTCAATTTGGAGTATCTTAGATGTTCTAAATACAATTCTTCCGATTACTAGTTTATCTTCTTTGTGATATAGCTTATTATT